GGAGGGCAAAAGCAACTCAGGCCGGCGCCAAGGGCAGAGATCACTCCGTGGCCGGGAGCCGGCGGGGGCGGGGCCCCAGCGGAGGTAGGGGGTGGGGAGGGCTGCTCCCTGGCCCGGGAGGAGCTGGGCTTGCAAGCTGCAGCTCTTGCTCAGAACCTGGCACCTGCCCTGGCTGCTGCTGCCTCTGGGGGTTAAGTGTCTACAGATGCCTCCGAGGACAGAAGCTGCCTGGATCTAAGGGAGGGGGAAGGCCTGGCCCCCCGGGCCTCTCCTCACGCCCTCTCCTCCATCTTCCGCTGCACCTGGAAGCCAGCCAGCTTTTCCTCAGTACCCACGGGAGTGTCCAACCCGCAGCAACAGGCCATGTGGATTAAGTGAGGACATTTTGCTTATCTATGGTGGCGGATAAGCCACCAAAAGTATGCATGGACCTTCTTTTCTTTGCTCATCAGCCTTCGTTAGTGTTTGCGTATTTAATAAGTGGCACAAGACAACTGTCCAGTGTGACACAGAGAAACCAAAAGGTTGGACACACCTGAAACTGCTCTCGGGGCAGCAGACTTCACAAAGCCACCTACCCACCTACCTCGACTCCCTCCTGCAGGAATGAACTACCCCCAGGTGGCTCTGCACGGCCCTGTGTACAAACCAGTCGCTACACCTGGAACACAGTCCCAGGCCTTCGTGTCTAATGTCTACCCAGGAAAGCTTTAGCTGAGTCTCTCCCCCGCCTCCACTAAGGGCCCCACCCCAGCCCACATCTCATGGCAAGGGCCTGACTGCCCTCTGATCTTCCCTCCCTCCTCCCATGCCCCCAAGATGTGGGGTCACTGAGGCACCTCCAGTGCCTGGCCTAGGCGTGCTGCTCATAAATACCTTGCCTGGCAGTCCTCTGCCCAGATGGAAGATTCCAGAAGTCACTAAATCTCTTATAGCAGCAGACCTCAAACTAGGGCAAGCATCACAACTGGGGGGGGGGGTGGTGGGGAGAACTGAATAAAACACAAATTGCTGGCTCAGCACGCATAGCTCAGTGGTTACGGTTTCTGCCACATACACCTAGGCTGGTGGGGGTTCAAACCCAGCCCAGGCCAGCTAAACAACAATGACAACTGCAACTAAAAACTAGCCAGGTGTTGTAGCAGGCATCTGTAGTCCCAGCTACTTGGGAGGCTGAGGCAAGAGAATTGCTTAAGTGCAAGAGTTTGAGGTTGCTGTGAGCTGTGATGCCATGACACTCTACCAAAGACGACATAGTGAGACTGTCTCAAAAAAAGAAAAAAAAATCAGCAATTGCTGGCCCCCACCTCCAGAGCTTCTGATTCAACAGATGTGGAGCAAGGCCTGAGAATCTGCATTTCTAACAAGTTCCCAGGTGCTGCTACTGCTGGACTTTGAAAACGCTGTCTGAGATCATCTGTTTCTTCATTGGCAAATGGGGATAATTACTGTCACCACCGTCCAGGGTTTTGTGAGAACCCAATAAGACAATGAAAGAACTCAGCATGGTGCCTGCACCCAGTGGGTGCTCAAGAAGGGTGCTTAGTGATTGTTCCTGGAGTAGGAAAGGGATGTGCTAGGCAGGAAAAACATGAATTGCAACAGATTTTGGAAAGGGCCCAAGCAGGTCAGCTGAGCAGACAGGAGAGCCAAGGCCCAGCGCGGCAGCCAGGGAGTCCAAGTTGTACGGTGGAAGTAACTGGGAGCCATGCACAGTTCTGGAGCTAGGCAGTGACATGCAGAATTTGAATATGGCAACACTGGGCAGGAGACCTTTGTTGGCAGCAAGTCCCACGCGCTGGAGACTTGGCTGTTTAGCCCAATAAAGAGTTGTCAGATTTAGCAAATAAAAATAAGGAACATCCTGTTAACTTTTTTTTGCAGTTTTTGGCCAGGGCTGGGTTTGAACCCACCACCTCCAGCATATGGGGCCGGCGCCCTACTCCTTTGAGCCACTAGCGCTGCCCCCATCCTGTTAAATTTTAATCTCAGGTGAATGATAATTTTTTTTAGTATAAGTATAACCCAAATATTGTATGGGGCATACTTATATTAAAAAGCATTTGTTCCTTATCTGAAATTCAAATTTAACTGTGCATACTTTATTTGCTAAATCTGGCAATCTTAGCTAAACACCAGTTGCCTGCCCTCCACCCTCAACCCTGTGTGCTGTGGGGAGCCAGCCTCAGGGTCTGTTGTCTACCTTCCCACCTTTGACAAAGCTGTCAGCAATGGTTGAACAGCTGCTCCTGGAAACTAGCCTTGCTTCTCCTGACAAGTGGCCACAGCTGCAAGCCTGGGTGAGCTGGCCCTCCTTCCTCATGCCAGGTTCACCCAACAAGAAAGTAGTGGAACACAGTAAATAATCACTGGATCTGTGAATTAACAAAGACATAGGCTAGCAAATCTCATGGAGAGCGCCACCTGCCCTCTGGGATGAATCAAGACAAAAACAGCTAGTGGTGGTAAAGGCCCACCCAGTGAGTATATCCAAGCAGAGAAAAAGGTGGCCTCTACCCTGAACCCCAGAAATGGGCAAACGTAAGCATCCCAAAGGACACCTTGGAGATGGGGGTGTGACCTCAAGCTAGAGTGGGACTGTCCCTGAAGACAAGTCATACTACCAGAGGGTGCCTCTCCCCTCCCAACCCTCAACCCTATATTCACCAAACCCTGGATAATTCATAGCTCTGGAATTAAGCCTATCAGAAATGCAATTTCTGGGCCAGGAGTGGTGGCTCGCGCCTGTAATCCTAGCACTTGGGAGGCTGAGACATGTGGGTTGCCTGAGCTCATGGGTTTGAGCTCAGCCTGAGCCAGAGTGAGACCTCATCTCTAAAAATAGCTGGGCACTGTGGTGGGTGCCTGTAGTCTCAGCTACTTGGGAGTCTGAGGCAAGAGAATCACTTGAGCCCAAGAGTTTGAGGTTGCTGTGAGCTATGACACCACAGCCCTCTACCCAGGGCGACAAACTGAGACTGTGTCTCAAAAAAGAAAAAGAAGGCTTGGCGCCTGTGGCTCAAGCGGCTAAGGCGCCAGCCACATACACCTAAGGTGGCGGGTTCGAATCCCCAACCCGGGCCCGCCAAACAACAATGATGGCTGCAACCAAAAAATGGCCAGGCGTTGTGGCGGGCACCTGTAGTCCCAGCTACTTGGGAGGCTGAGGCAGGAGACTCGCTTGAGCCCAGGAGTTGGAGGTTGCTGTGAGCATGATGCCATGGTACTCTACCCAGGGGGATAGCTTGAGGCTCCGTCTCAAAAAAAAAAAAAAAGAAAAAGAAAAAAAATCCAATTTCTGGAATAACTTTCATATCAGCTTTTTTCTTGTTTGCTCTAACAGGACATAAGGAAAACAATTCGTGCTCCCTCTTGAAAAGTGTGTGATAAACATTACAGAATGCTGGTGTGCCCTGGGCTGTGCTCAGGGTTTTATGGGGCTCAGTACTTCTCAGCTGTGGCTGTACATTACAAACACCTGGAGAGGTTTTTCAAATTGCAGTGCCTTGAGCATCAGTATTTATGCAGGGCACAGCGATTCCAACATACCTCCCAGGTTGAAAACCACTGATTTAGTTTATCCTTAAATCCTCACGGTAAAATCCTGCAAGGCAGCTTTGATCACCATTTGCAGATGAAACTGAGGCTCAAAGAGGTAAATGGACTTTGGCATCTGTTGTCCCAACCTGTGACCTCTCCTTCCTCCCTCCTCAGGCTCCCTCGAGGGATTTCCTGATGTCATTTACATATGATGTTCTATTTTATATAATTCTGCTACCGACACAGGGTGGTGCTGCCTCCTTGCCTATCTTGAGATAACTCCACTCCCCAGAGGTCTCTCCTGAGATAGGAGCCAGACACTGCCTGAGTTCAGGACTAATAATAAATGACTTGTTAATGTGAGGACTGAGCCCAGTCACTTCCAGACAGGTTTGTTACCTTGGGTCACAGCGTAGTGGCGGGTGCTGGTGGCTACCCCTCATTGCCATCGCCCCCGCCCCATAGTCTCTAAACGTGGCTCTTCTCAGGTCATTTTCTTTGCAGGCTCCATGAATCCTCACTGTCGGAGAGACCTTTGATGAAGGAAAGGCCGCAAACCATAGATTCAAAGGGAAAAGTCATTCCCCTGGTCCGGCCCTCGCCTGTATCACGACGCTCAGTACGCACCTGAGCTCATCTGTGTCCCTCCTGCGGCGCCTGCAGGCGGAAAGGGAGCGCTGCTGGACGAGAAGGATGGTCACCGCCTGCCCTCTGCTGGCAAGTGCCGGTATTGAGCCTGCGGCAGCTAGATCGCTAAGTCTGAAGGATGGATGGATGGAAGGAAAACTGGCATCTTTTGAGCGCCTACTGTATGCCAGGCGCTACACTGAGCCCTGGCGTGTAAGAATGAACACGACATGTTCTTACAGAGTTCAAATTCAAATGAAGAGGCAGACAGTAATCACATAGGCATTCAAGCAAATATTAAAGGACAACTGTGGGCGATGTGGACGTATGACGCAAAGGACCAGCCCAGTCCTGGGGAAAAGGAGTTCGAGAAAGCTGCCCCAAGGAGGGAATATTTGAGCGCCGGGCGCTTCTTAAAGTCATTTCGCGTAATTTCGAAATCTTGCAAGGTGACTGCCCCTCTTGACAAAGCAGGAAACGGGCTCAGATTGGGGAAAGAATTTACACAAGGTCACACAGCGAGCTGGAAGCAAATCCAGGACGACCGAAGTCGGCCTGGTTCCAGTCTCCATTTCTTCGTCGCTCTAAGAGGTGGAGCAGGTGACCAGCCACGAGAACACTCCTTACTCTAGTGGCCCTAGGGCGTGAGGAGGGGCCCTAGTGGGCGGAGCCTGAAGTTGGGCCCCGCCTCAGCGTCTACAGGTAAACGGGGGTGGGGCAGTGGCCGGGGGGGCGGAGCCAGGGCGGACTGGGGCCTGCGGAGCCCGCGGAGGGAGGGTGGAAGGGGCGGAGCCGGGATCTGCCAGCGTCCTGGAGTAGCCGGAAGCTCCAGCCGGTACGGGCTGAGGATACCCACCTGTTGAGCCTGGGCACACAGGCAGAGGCGGCGGCTCTGACTCCAGAAGGTCCAGTGGGCAGCTCCCCAGGTAGGGCCCAACCCAGGGCGGGAAAGAGACATCCTTCTTCCTCCCGCCCTGCGCGTCTGCCCTGCCATCCGACGTTCCTCCCTGCGTGTCCGAGGGCCTGAGTTCACCTCCAGCCATCAGAAGGGAACGCAGGGCTGGAAGGGGTGGTAGGGCTGGCCTGACTTTGTCCCTCTCCTCAGCCCAGTGGCTACAGGACTCCCTGGACCCAGAACGTGGAGTCTGTAGAGACGGAGATGCCACAACCTCCCAGGGGAGGAAGGCTGACAGTGTGACCTTGGGGAGGACAGCCACCCTCTCTGGTACCAAGTGCCCTCTGTTGCAAAGCATTGTCTGACCCTTACCCTGCCTGCTCTGAGCCTGGCAAGTAGATGCTGTGGCGGCTGGGGTGGCATTTTCCCTTTGCCGGGACAAAAGGAACGCTTACCCTTCTGCTCCCTCTGGTGCTTTGTGAAGAGTCACTCACACCGTCCTCCACCCAAACCTGGGAACCCAAGAGGCCAGCGGCTCCAATCCAGGGCAGGACGTTGTGGTGTCCCTGTGGGGGAGCTGCGGGCCAGCCTGGAAGGCCTTGCAGGAGTCTTCAGAGGCATGGGGAAGGCACCGGGGAGGACTGCCTGGAGCCCACTGCCCACTCTGCACATGGTGGGGCTACCATTGTGCAAGGCCTTGAATGTCATGTTCAGAAGTCTAAATCCTCAACTGCAAGCAGGGACAGTGCATTGGAGCCTGACTTGTAGTGTTCTCAGGACCAGCCCAGGCGAGTGGGGCTGTCATGATGTTGAAAAATCTGCTGCAGATGATAGGTGACGCCTATGGGCACGCACATTATCTCATTACCCGCACCTCATGTTTTCCCCATTTCAGAGGCTGGAACTGATGCTTAAAGCAATAAAGTGACTCACCCAAGATCACAGCTAGAAGTGGCAGAGCAAGGATCAGAACCCAGACAGTCTGGTGCCCCTTCCCATAATGACCTGTGGCCACCCATGATCTGAGCATCTGGCAATAACTCCATGACTAAGGACAGCAGGAAAAAGGAGGGGCCGTATGAGCAAGAAATTAGGGCAGAGGATTCAGAGGGTTTGGGAGGGAGGCATACCTGTGGGGGGAGGATGAAGTGGTTGATTTGAGGTGTGCTGGTTTGGGGGTGGAGGGTGATACAGGGGAGCTAGGCAGAGCTCTTCGCTGGAGAAGACCAAGAAGGCAGAGCTGGGGAAAGATGCCTTCAGGGATGAGTGCAGACAGAGGGGAGAAGCACAAGGCCAGGCTCACAGGAAGTCCCCCAAACGCTGTGCAGGCAGATGGGGGGGCACCCACTACTGGTGAGTGTAAGGGCAGAGAGAGGAAAGATTCTAGACTCCATGACATTAGAGCTGAGATGGGTCTGTACAATGGAGACTTTGTTTCACAGAAGGGGAAACTGAGGCCAGCAAGTTACTTGCCTGAGAATAATCCAGGATGGAGCCAAGCAGGACCCTGGGCACTATCCCTGCAATTCAGCATTTTATGCAGGATCAGTGGTTCTCAACTGGGGGCACTTTTGTCCCCCAGGAGACACTTAACAATGTCTGGAGACAATTTGGCGGTTGATGAAGGTGGGTTGAGGAGATGAGGTGCTACAGGGAACTAGTAGGTAGAGGCCAGGGACACTGCTAAATTCCCACGGTGCACAGCCCCCCTCAGTGAAGAACTATCTGGGCCTAAAGGGTAATAAAGCTGAAGTTGAGAAACTTCGCACAGGAGCCCTGAGGCTGTCACCCTCCTCCCTGCTCCTCCAGCCAGGCAGATCTTGGCCACCACACCTGCTCTGCCCCTCCCTTGCTTGCTTCTTGATTCCTAGAAGCTGCTGGAGTCCTCTCTGGTTTTCCTGGGCACAGGTGTGTGGAGCTCCGCCCACCAAGTGTCTGTTGTCGTCATTCTGTTTGATATTAAGTATGGAGAAACCAAGTGGAAATGTCCATTCACCTAACGCAGTGATTTTCAACCCCCATGCCATGGCACACTGTGATAGGACCTTAGGTGTACTGGGAACATTTTTAAAGATCATTAATGAAATTTCTTTTCTTTGTTTTTTAATTCTTTATTAAATCCTAACTGTGTACATTAATGCATTTATGAGGTACAGTGTGCTGATTTGATATACAATGTGGAATGCTTACATCTAACTGATTGACATAACCACCTCCTCACTTAGTTATTTGTTGTGGTAAGACATTGATACTCTATTCTTAATAGTTTAGGAATGTATCATTGCATTATGCACACTAGGTTAGGTCCCCCCAAATACACTCCCTCCCCCTGGCCTCCGCCCTCCCCTGCCCCCTCCGTCCTGGACTATAGTTATGTTTTACCATTCCTGTGAATGTGTAGGTGATTATATACTGATTTCATAGTAGTATTGAATACATTGGATGCGTTTTTTTCCATTCTTAAGATACTAAGAAGAATAAGCTCCAGCCCCATCCAAGTGAACATAAAAGATGTAAAGCCTCCATCTTTTTTTGTTTTTGTTTTTGTTTTTGTTTTTAAGACAGAGTCTCACTGGGCAGCACCCAGCCCCATATACTGAGGGTGGTGGATTTGAACCTGACCCCTGCCAAACTGCCAAAAAAAAAAAAAAGACAGAGTCTCACTATGTCACCCTTGGTAGAGTGCCCTGGTATCACGGCTCACAGCAACCTCCAACTCCTGGGCTCAAGCGAGTCTCCTGCCTCAGCCTCCCAAGTAGCTGGGACCACAGGCGCCCACCACAACGCCGGGCTACTTTTGGTTGCAGCCATCATTGTTGCTTGGTGGCCTGGGCTGGATTCAAACCCGCCACCTTAGGTGTATGTGGCTGGCGCCTTAGCCACTTGAGCCACAGGCGCCAAGCCATGAAATTATTTTCGAAAGAAGTTCAAAGCACAGAAAGTATATTCTTTTTTTGACTTTTCTTTGATTACCATAATTTGAAGTGTGCCATATGATTAAAAAGAAAAAAGTTGAAAAACACTGCTCGTAGTAGGTGCCTTGCAGATAAACTATTTGTAGAATTTGAGTGACACGTCAGGGGTCTAAAAAGTTTCATTTTACTCCATTTCTACTTTAGCAATTCTTTCTCCCCCCCACCCTCCGCCCCGAGACCTAGTTGATGTTTGGGACTTTAACGATTCTAATCGTGCCTTATGTTTGCGAAGCTCAGACACAGACCGAAAAAACCCTCTGCTTTATGTGGGGGCGCCCCAGGATGGCAGGAGGTGGGCACTACTGAGAAGTGCCAGAGGGGAGGTGCAGGGGCGGGGAGAGTCTTATCATCCAGGCTCTCCCAAGTGTAGGCTGGGAACACAAAGGGATCCTGTTAAAATGCGGGTGCTGATTCAGTAGGGCTGAGTTGGGCTCAAGATTCTCTGTGTGCAACAAGCTCCCAGGCGATGCTGAACCGCTGGCCCTTTGAGTGCAAGGCTTTACAAGCCGTGCAGGGGTAGCTGTGGGCTGGCTGCTCTCTCTGCAGACAACTCTGAGGTGGTGAAGGGACCATGGAATCAGGGGATCTGGATTGGAGTTATCATTCCCTCTGTCCCCTCCCTACACCCTACCTTTGGCCTATCAGCCTAATAGAGCTTAGTAAGTCACTTCCAGCCTTGGATGAGTCACTTAGCTCCTTTGTGGGGTGTCCTGTGTGGCAGGCTGTCCTCCACGGGTCCTGACACAGGGTCTGAGAGAGGCAAGTACCCTGTGAAGGTGAGAAGGTCTAGGTCTGGCAGCCAGAGGGGCAGCAGGCCACTGGCCCAGCCAGCAGGGCAGGGATGATGAGCTGAAGCTGGTGGGGTGGGCACCAGGCCAGCGAGGAAGCAGCTCTCATTACAGCCCTGGCTTTGCTCCAAGGCTGCCACTGCCTCCTGCCTCCAGCTCGCCCAGCCCTGCCTGGTGTAGAATAGCTGGCAGACCAGTCTGGCCGGGGGAAGGGGCGGGTTCAGGGCCAGCTGAAGTCCTCCATGTGGGTCTGAGGAGTGGGTGTTAGGACTGAAGCTGGGGACTGAGAGCCATGGCTGGAGACTCTGAGGTCAAACTGTGAGCCACTGACAGGCTTCCCACCAGGGAAACTGGGAAGAAAATTGGAGTTTGAGGCCTTAAGCCCCTACGTATAGGGGATGCCTTGCCTTAGGCATCTGACCTCAGCAGTAAGGCTGAGCAGAGCTTTAGGTCTTTAAGGTGCTTCCACCCCTGGCCTCCCATAAATCAGCCACAATGGCCCATCAAGGCCCTTTCCAACTCCCAGGACCAGGAGGCTACAGGAAGTTCAACCTGTTTCTCAGATGGGAAAACAGAGACACCCCCATTCCTCCCCACTTCCTAGGAAGACAATATCACCCTTCCGGGCTGCCGGGCCCTGGGTCTACCCACGTTGGCCTCCCCTCCTGTTCCCATAGTTGGGCCATCCCAGTGGTTCACACCGAGTTCTGGGTGTGAGCCACACAGACCTGGGTTTGAATCCCAGGTCCTCTCCTTAATGGTTGTGGGACCCTGGGCAAGTCACACCACCTATCCAGCTCATCCATAAACAGGAGTAATAACACCCGCTCGGCCAGCTTCACAGGATTGTCGTGAACATGAAATGAGCCAGCCCACTGAGCACTGTGGTCATTATCATTAGTCATGGCATTTGGAGGCACCAGGCAACCCAGTATCTTCTCACCCTGCACCCTTATTTTTACAGATGCGGAAATCAGCACTTGGAGGAGGGAGGAGACTGCCCAAGGGTCCTGCGCTGGCAGATTGGCAGGCAAGCCAGAGCTAGACCACATCTATGCACCTGGCATCTGTTGCTATCCGTGCAAAGGCACTCAGAGGCTTGACACAAACATAAGCCGGGGGAGCTGGGTGATCAGGCTGCAGGAGCCTCCACACAGAGGAAGCTGAACCAGCCCGTGTCCACAGCACTACCTCCCTCTACCAGCACCAGCCATGAACTATGTGGGACAACTGGCCGAGACGGTGTTTGGGACGGTGAAGGATCTGTACAGGGGCCTGAACCCGGCCACACTGAGCGGCGGCATCGACGTGCTGGTGGTGAAGCAGGCTGACGGCTCGTTCCAGTGCTCGCCCTTCCATGTGCGTTTTGGCAAGCTGGGTGTCCTGCGGTCCCGGGAGAAGGTGGTGAGTGTCTCCGCAGGCAAGGTGGCCACTGTAGGGTGGGCTCTCTAAACCAGGGCAGCCACTGCAGTCCCAGGACAGGACCTGGGACCTCCCTCCAAGGAGGATCTGTCCTCTGGACGGCCTTCCTTTCATTTGTGTGTTTTGGTTTTTTTTAAAGAGTTGGGGGCCGGGGTAGGTATTTTGGTTTGGGAGGGCTTCTAGTTTCCCATGGAAGCAGCCCAGTGGGGCAGACCTGGCTCCAGCTTACTGCAACCTTACCTGTGTGTTCTTGGTAAATCATGGCCTATCTCTGAGCCCAGTCACATCACCCACACCAATGGACATGATCTCATCAGCCTGGTGATGGTGACAGAAGTAAACAGGACATGGTAATGCTGTCCAGGGCCAGATAAGTGGTGACACTCAAAGCTTAGATTCCCTCCCTTGGTAGATCCACACCATCCTCACTGGACTTGGGAACATGACAGAGATTTTACAGCACTGAGGTCTGGTGTGTGAACCCAGATTTGGTGGCTCCAAATCCCTTTCAGGTTGAGGCAACTAAACTTTCCAGAATCCTGAAAGGTTAAGAGTGTGGGTTGCAGACTCAGACTTTTTGGGTGCAGAGACTTGCTCTGAGGCCACTTCCTAGCAAATTGCTTAAGCCTCAGTTTCCTCATCTATAAAGTGGGAATAATGATGATGGCAGCTACTGTGAAGGTCAGTTGAGATAAAAACACTCTATGAACTGCCCAGTAAATGGCAATTGTCTCCATTGTTCAACAGCCTGGGGGCTGGGGTCACAGCAGTGACAAGTGGGATCGTATCCCTGTTCTTGTGGGGTGTGGGGGAGAGGAACACAGAAAGCAAGTGACAAACAAGATCAAGACAGTGACAAGTGCAGCCAGGCTGACAACGAGGCAATGGGAGAGGGAGACAGTGTGGGGAACCCACGGAAGGCGTCTCTGAGGAAGGGGAGATGGGGCAGAGACTGAAGTCTGGGGGAGGAGGGCGCTGCAGCAAGGGCAGTGCCCAGGCAGCAGGGAGGACCCCTGCCCCACCAGTCCCCATTACAGGTGGACATCGAGATCAATGGGGAACCTGTGGACTTGTACATGAAGCTGGGGGACAGTGGGGAGGCCTTCTTCGTTCAGGAGCTGGACAGCGATGAGGTGAGTGCCATCCTCCCCTGCAGCTCCTGCCTGTCCTCTTCCCTGGTTCTTCTGGGAGGGGCCTTGGGATTTGTCCCTGTCCCTGCCCTTGGGAGTATCTTATCAACAGAGGTCTGATCCAGGAGTGAATTGGGGCTGGCCTCTGGCACTTGTGAGGAAGGAGCCCAGGTGCAGGCTGACTCTCTAGGAAGCTGGGGGAGGGCTTCTCAGAGGGGACACCTGAGCTGGGTCCCCAGGGGATGAAAAGGAGCCCTTCCCAGGCAGAGCAGTGTGGAGAGGAGGACACTGAAGAAGGGCTGGGAACCACGGAGTCTGGCTCGCCCGGGGTCTGTTGCCGGCTTGCGCAGCTGGAACCCAGAAGCATGGAGGGGGCTGAAGAGAGGGGTGTTTGCAGAGGGGAAGCAGGGCCCAGCGCATGCTAACAGTGGAGTTGCAAGTATCTGAACTTGGCAAACCTTAACTGAGCCCCTACCATATGCCAGACACTGCAGCAGCTGAGAGTGAGCTTAGACGAGGGGTAACCCTGCCTACAAAGAAAGTTCCAGACCTTTCTGGGAGACAGACACGTAAATAAGCAGTGATGGAACTATTTGGCCATTGGAGTGGAGGTGGGAGCTTGGGTGAAGGATAGTCAAGGGCACCTTCTGGAGGAGGTGACATGTGGCTGCGTCTTAGAGGAGATGAGAGGGTGATGCCAAGGTTTCTGCCTGGCTTGCGGGATGCTGGGTTATTCCCTGAGATTGGGGCTGCTTTGTCTCTCTTAAGGAGGTCTGGGCCCAGCAGTGGCTTCAGGGACCATGTTGCTGTCCCCTCTGTCCAGCCTCTACCTGCTTCCCTGACCCCAAACGAGCTCACTCTAGATGCCTGGTCTGCTCTACAGGAGCACGTGCCTCCCCGCCTGTGTACCTCACCCATCCCATGGGGGGGCCTGTCAGACTTCCCCTCGGACTCCCGTCGGGACACAGCCAACAAGCCTGAGGGGCTTGTCATGTCGGGCATGGCCTCCATGGGGCGGAGGAAGAGACGTCGCAGGAGGAAACCCAGGCGGAAGGAGGATACGTTGGCAACCGATTCTAGTTCAGAGGAACTGGAGCCAGGCACTGAGAGTGAGCTGTCCCTGCTAGAGAAGCCAAAGCCAGAGCCCCCAGGGTGTGTGGGGACCAGACAGGGGCTGAGGGTGTGGGGACACCAACCTGGGGCACAAGCACTGTTTCCTCTGCTGATGCTGTGTGACTTTGAGCAGGGGCCTTGACATCTCTGGGCTTTTACTGTTTCAACTCCCCAGCCCTCTGATGTCTAGGCTCCTGTGTCCTTCCTGGGGTGTTCTGCCCTGTCACTGACCATTTCCCTGTGGTCCCTCAACAGCGTCCAGTTGGAAGGGAAGTCCTCACCACAGCCCAAAGACATCTACCCCTACTCGGATGGTGACTGGGGCCCCCAGGCCAGGTGAGAGTCCAGGTGGCCTGCAGGCCCAGATCAAAGTCTCAGAGTGGTTTAAATTTACAGTTTCCTGATGTCTAATGACACAAAACCCAGCTAACATCTTGACCCAGCATCTGTATTTCTCCTTTGTGAAGTGTTCAAGTATTTTGCTTCTTTATTTCTCTATTGTGGCCAAATACATAGAACATAAATTTACCAGGTTAGCCATTTCAGAAGATACAATTCAGTGACATTTAAGTGTACAAGTGCGCAATTAAGTACATTTAGGATGCTGAGCAGCCAGGACTACTGTCTACTTCTAGAACATTCCATCTCACCAAAAGGAAGCCCTGTTAAGCAGCCACAACCTCACCCTTTTTCTTTTTAAAACTAGTTTGTCTTCTTGCCTTCTTATTGTTGACTTATAGGAGTTCTTTATATATTCCTCATATCTTCTCCTATTCTTTGTACGTTCTATATTCAACACGGGCATAAATATGGGTTGCAAATATTTTTCTCCCCGGCTAGGGTGGGTGGCAGGAGGTGACGAGCTGACTTAGGGACTCTGAGTATTGTCTCCTGCAGCCTCTCAGGGGGCAAGCTAGCGTCCCCTAAGAGCGACTCGGAGCTGGAGCTGCGGGCCCCGGAGCCCAGTGCCCTGAGAGCGGAGTCCCACGTGCAGTGGGCCTGGGGGAGGCTACCTAAGGTGAGTTCCTCTGTGTCAACCTCAATTCCCATTCCTGGCTTTCAGGGAGCAAGCCCCATGGCCCCTGCAGGTCAGGACTGGAGTGGCTGGGACTTGGGGCACCTCCTCCAAGGCTCTGTGGGTGTGGAAGGCAGGACCTGCATCATCCACATCTTCTCCCATCTGTTTGACTGAAGGTGGCCAAAGCTGAGCAGCCGGAGTCCTTGATGGTCCTTGAAGACAGCATGGGGGCCACCTCTCCCCCTCGGGGAGGACCCAGCACACCCTCTGCTTCTGCGGCTGGCCTGGACCCTTCAGGTCCCACAATCCTGGTAACCGATGCTGGTGCTGTCCACCTGCTTCAGTCTGACACAGAGGATCCTTCTCTGGTGGGTCCCCCTCTCCGCACCCCAGAGCTTCAGGAAACCAAGACTCAGAATTCCAGGGATGCGAGCCTCCGTCCTGCTTCTAAGTCATGGAGTTGGGCTACTCTGGAGGGCCCAGTTCCCACTGGGCAGCCAGCGGGAGCTTCTAGGGGCCGAGGTGAGTGAGAACTGGGCCCCTCCCACTGCTTCCCTCACCTCATCTTATGCCCTCGGTGGGCTCTGGACTTCAGCTATGTTTAGGGTACCTACTGCTTGCCAGCCACTGTGCTTGGCCCAGCCCTCATGGGGCTCACAGCCTGAGAGGGAGAAAGATAACACATGCATGAATGGGAGGGACAAGCACAGGGCCTTGGGTTGGGATAGGGAAGCCACACGGTCAGGTGGCTCGGTGCCCGTAGCACAGTGGTTACAGTGCCAGCCATATACACCAAGGCTGGCGGGTTTGAACCCAGCCCAGGCCAGCTAAACAATGACAACTGCAACAAAAAATAGCCGGGCACTGTGGTGGGCGCCTGTAGTTCCAGCTACTTAGGAAGCTGAGGCAAGAGAATCGCTTAACCCCAAGAATTTGGGGTTGCTGTGAGCTGTGACACCACAGCACTCTACTGAGGGTGACATAGTTAGATTCTGTCTCAAAAAAAAAAATCACATGGTCAAGGAAGGTCTCTGAGATATGGACAATAGTGACCCAGCCACATAAGGAGCAGGGAAGGAGTCTAGGCAGAGGGACAGCATGTCCGGCACTCTGGATACAGGGGAGGTGATGCCGGTCTATGTCTTGAATGAGGAGGGGGAATGGGTTGGGATGGGAGCCCAGGTAAACAAGCAGAGCTGGACTGTTTTCATTCATAGGCTTACCTAAGAGTGACGGGAAAGCTCTGGGGCCTGCCCTGTACAAATTGGTGGTCACCGGCTATATTTAGCCATTTAAAATTAAATTAATTGAAATTAAACAAAACATAAAATTCCGTTTCTGCATCACACTGACCACATTTTACATGCTCTCACAGCCACCTGTGACTAGATGTAGGACAATTCTGTCACAGAAAGTTCTACTGGACAGCTTTGCCTGATGGTGTTCAGAGGCAGGGTGTAACCGCTGCTCACACTACCCAGCACTCGTTAGGTTTGTCTATAGGTGTCCCCTCCTCCCCCTCAGGCTCCCTGAAGAGAAGCCAGCACCTGGGCCCCAGCGACATCTACCTGGACGACCTGCCCTCCCTGGACTCTGAGAACGCAGCACTTTATTTCCCCCAGAGGTGCCTGGGTTCCGGGTGCCACAGGGTCTTGGGTTGGGGCCATTCTCAAGGGCAGAGGAGGAGGGTAGACCCACCTCCCACCCTCCTTGTGTTCATGTCACTGTTGGCCCCTTTGTCCCCAGTGACCGTGGGCTGGGTGTCAGAAGATGGAGTGAACCCGGTACCCAGAAGCCTCTGGGAGACTCCAACCCCGAGCACATGCCAGAACCCCTTCCAGACACAGCGGACACCATATCACTGTCCCTCTGTGGTGGGCTGGCTGATAGCCGGGACATCTCTCTGGGTATGTTGGACCTAGCCCCAAGCCCTTCTGAACATTGGTGCTGAGTCTAGGGGACACAGAGGGCAAGGCAGGCCCCCAAGGGTGGAGCTATGAAGGTATAAGGCTTGTCCCCTTGCAGTTCTCTGCCCTATGGAGTCGGCAGGAAGGGCTGGGCACTCCCAAATCCACATGAAGCAAGTGCTTGACACCAAGTTGTGACTCATCTTGTGAATCTCAAGAAAACCACAGGTAGTGAGCTAGGTCAGCAGGAGGTGTGTGGCAGAGTGTAGGCTCCCCAGAGGCTAGGGCAGCAGGTCTCAGGCTGTGCCAGCCTCACCTCTCACTCTCTGTCTCTGCACCTAGAGAAGTTCAACCAGCACATCGTCTCCTACCAGGACTTCACCAAAAACCCCGGTCTCCTAGAGGACCCAAACCTAGTGGTGAAAATCAATGGGAAGTAAGTCCCGGGGCTGGGCCTGCTGGCCTGAGGGACGGCCCATGCTTCACAGCCCTGCAGCTGCTGCAGCCCAGATGCCTCCTTCTGTCTTTCCAGGCATTACAACTGGGCTGTGGCCGCTCCCATGCTCCTCTGCCTACAAGCCTTCCAGAAAAGCCTGCCCAAGGTAATGGCGAGAAACCACTGGGTCACCCCCCTGCTTAGCTCTCCTCACCTTACCCAGAAAGACCCACCACTTGAGACCCCTGAGACCTTTTCCCCCACCAGCCTGTTGCCAGCTCACATGGGCCCCTGGAGTAGCCACCCTAGGCCCAAGGCCAATACCTTGGGTTCTCTATTCTGTGCCTGTAGGATGCTGGTGTCTCCCAGATGGGCCTTGGCTGGGCTTTCCCTGGGGTCACCTAGTACAGATCAAATCAGCATTCTTCCCAAGGTCATGTCACCCCAGCCAGACAGTGATGGTGACATACGGAGAGGGAAGCTGTCCATGGGATAGGATCACTGACTTAGGAGGTTACCTGTGCCAGTCTCGGAGGTAAACAAGTAAACCAGTCTCAGATGTCTGTAGCTGGGACTCTACCCAGCTTCCTGCTGCCACTTGGTAACATCATGCAGGGAGCACTAGATCTAGAGAAACTCCCAAAGGACTATCTTCAGCTATTCTAGTAAGGGACTGACCCACAAGATTTAGAGGCCAGGCTGAAGCTGGGCTGGAGCTAGGGATCAGGGCTGGGATGGGCCGGGGCCTGAGGTTGGGGGACAGGAATGGCCCTTGGTCTCTTGTGCATAGCTCCCAGGTCACCCTGTAGACTCCCAGGTGAGTATGCTTTCTCGGCCTCCTGATGCTGGCAGCACCTTGCTCTGAGTCTGCCCAGACTTGGGGGTCACGGGGGCCCCAAGGGCAATGGAAGGTAGGAGGTGTGAATAGTGCATGAAAAATGCCCTGGTCTCCACCTGCTCACAGAGCACCGTGGTCAAGCTGGAGAAGGAGAAGATGCCTCGGAAGGGCGGGAGGTGGTGGTTTTCCTGGCGCCGCAGGGACTTCCCGGCTGAGGAGGTAGGAGATCATGGTGGCGGAGCAGGAGCCGGCACAGGGCGGGAGCAGGGTTCACTGGGTGGCTGTTCTTTCCACAGCACAGGGCCCAGAAGGAGAAAAGCACAGCCAGCGAGGAGCAGGGGTGAGTGAGAGCCCCTGGCTGGTAAAGCTGCCTGGTTCCCAGGGTGGAGCCAGTGGCCAGCCATGGTTCCTGGTCACTCCCCAGACACTTCTACACACATCCCTTCTTTTCCCTGAGAAATACCCCCATTTCCCAGGAGAACTGACACCTATAATGTCTCACAGCCAGGAAATGGTCAAGCTGGACCAGGTGCTCAGACTCCTGGCCCAGATAAGGGCTACCTACCTATTAACGGGGAAGGGGGCCTCTCTCTCTCTCTCTCTCTCAAAAAAAAAGAAGCAGATGACTTGACTTTTTTTCACTTGGAAGTACCCCAGATGCTTAAGGGTGGGTGGAGGGTGACCAGGGATGGGCCGATAGAGGCCAGAGCACATGGGGCTGGGAGTCAGCCCTGAGATGGGCTTTAGGTGTTTCATGTAGATTTCCCCAAGGGCGGCAGCCCTAGGTCTCCACCCCCTCTGCTGTCACCGGCTGGCTGGAGACTGCTACCCAACACCCCTGTCTGCCACCATCCATGTGGGTCGCACATAGAGGGAGGGATTGCTGATACCCTGGGTAGCCTCTGGAATGACAAGGACAGGGTCTTCGTGGCCTGGGCTGAGGTGAGCACCCACTGGGAGTGAAGGACCTTGGGCTGGGGATAGCAGCTTGAGAGCCAGCATTGTTCGCAGGGAGAAGATTGACATCCTAAGCAGCGATGACGACACTCCAGACAGCCCTGTGATCCTTGAGGTCCCCTCCCCGCCACCTTCAACTCCAGTCTACACTCCTACCTACAAGAAGTCCCTCCGCCTGTCCTCCGACCAGATCGTAAGTGTGTGCTAAACCTGTCCCGCGCAGTCCCTCAGGGTCTGGGTGAGAAAGGCATCCCGGGCCACCTGTTCACAAAAGGCTAGAATCCAGCACCCCCGCCCCCCCCCGCAGCCTCCCTGGTGGCCTCTTTTTGAGTGCCTCCAGGGACAGGGGGCTCACTTCCTCACATGCTACCTGCTTATATGTTGGATGCTATGTCTAGAAAAGCCCTCTCTGGGTCCTCCTGCGATACCTGCGCAGTGAACCAGCCAGCTTCAGGTCTGCCCTCAGAAGCCACACTAAACGAATCACATGCTGTTGACAGCCCCTTAGATTTTGGCAACCCCAGGCCCTGTGGCATGTCTTCTCCAAGCTTAGCCACTGGTGGCTCCTGTAATGAGAGCATGTTTTCTCCCTGAGCATGGCTCCCTGGTCGGGGAGGTGTCCAGGAGAGTTGTCCAGCCCAGCATAGAGTGGTGCCACAACTTGGGGCCTTGGTGGAGGACTGCCCTAACCCTCTGGGGACCACATGCAGGGCCAGGCCTCTCTCTAGGGCAGCAGTTCTCAACCTGTGGGTTAAGACCCCTTTTTAATAAAGAAAATACACTATGGCCTTAGAAAGGTTGGGAACCACTGCTGTAGGGTAATGTGATCAAGTGCCCTAGGCACAGGGCCCTCCCCTGTGGAGTGGGTGGTCTCTCCATGAGAAACCCAAGCAGGGGAATCACGGGCCCAGCTTTGTCTGAGTTTCATCTGAAATGGAAATGAAGGGAGACTAGGACTCCTGTGGCCAGCCATGTGCAGCACCCTGGCCAGCATGGCCACCCTGTGCTCACATGGACGTGTCTGTGCATGGCTATCTCTGATGAATTCAGGAAGGGCATCTGAGCTAGGAGGACCAGGAGAATGAGGGGCCCATGGGGATGAAAGGCCACCGTGTGCGTGGGGGGGTGGGCAACACCTGGCTGCCATGGATCACAACAACCCCCTTTGCCTGGCCCCAGAGGCGCCTGAACCTCCAAGAAGGAGCCAACGATGTGGTCTTCAGTGTGACCACCCAGTACCAGGGCACCTGCCGCTGCAAGGCCACCATCTACCTGTGGAAATGGGACGACAAGGTGGTCATCTCTGACATCGATGGCACCATCACCAAGTGAGGCCCAACTGGTCATGGCAAGGGCGGGCAGGCCTGGGACTTGTCTCCCTCCCTGCTAGGGGAGTGGAGGGGGTTAACAGTGAGAGAGGCCTGCACTTCCCCATGGACCATGTGAGGTCATGTGGGGCTGCCTCAGAGTGACCCTTTTTCTCTGGCTCTAGGTCAGATGCTCTGGGCCATATTCTGCCCCAGTTGGGGAAAGACTGGACACACCACGGCATCACCAGTCTCTACCACAAAATCCACCTGTGAGTGCCTGGGCTGGGCTGAGGCAGAACTCCCAACTAGAGAGAGGGAGTGGTGAGACCGGACATCTTAGGACCAGTAGGACCCACAGAAGCAGCAGCCTGGGCGGGTCCCTGCAGTGCTGAGACCTCCCTACCAGCCCTTAGATCTGCGGGCCTCAGGCTAGAGGGGAGGCTCTTCTCCTCCTGGTCCTTGCAGGCCCCGAGACTCTGTCTGTGCTCCTTCTAGCTGGGACAGCTGCCAAAGCCACCTCTCCTAGGCCTAGCCATTTTCCTAAGCCCTCTCCCTGCAAAAGCTTAAAGACCAGAGCCCCAGAGTTGGGCTGGGCAGGCCAAAACTGGGGCTGATGGAGGGTGGCTGGTCTCTGAAGGTTCTGTGCCACCCTGTCCCTAGGAATGGGTACAAGTTCCTGTATTGCTCAGCGCGGGCCATCGGCATGGCTGACCTCACCAAGGGATACCTGCAGTGGGTGAGCGAGCGGGGCTGTGGCCTCCCTAAGGGCCCCATCCTGCTGTCTCCCAGCAGCCTCTTCTCCGCCCTCCACAGGTAACAAACTGTGGCCCCTGGGGGGCAGGGCACGCAGCTGGGGACCAGCTCAGACTCGTGTCCCCTAAGCCTGCCATCCCCTCTGGTTTCTATTCCACTCTGGCCCTTTCTCTGCCTATGGCCCTGGGTGCTCCAGAGAGGTGATTGAGAAGAAGCCAGAGGTGTTCAAGATCGCCTGCCTGAGGGACATCCAGCAGCTGTTCCGGCCCCAGGTGCAGCCCTTCCACGCTGCCTTTGGGAACAGGCCCAATGTGAGTGTGTCCCTGCCCGGGGGCTGAGTCTCTCCTCCCCAGCTGCCAGCTGGCCACCTTGACCTCTGTTCCACCCACCCCCCATCTCTTGCAGGATGTCTTTGCCTACCGGCAGGTGGGCCTCCCTGAGTCCCGCATCTTCACAGTCAACCCCCGGGGGGAGCTCATCCAGGAGCTCTTGAAGAACCACAAATCCACGTGAGGCCACACCCTGCCATGTGCCCCTGTGCCCAGGCATGGCCCATGCCTTATCCTCTCTCTGAGCCCCGATTTCACCTCCCTACCTGAGTCTGTCCATCTTAGCCCTAATTTCTTTTTTTTTTTTTTGACACGGAGCCTCAAGCTATCCCCCTGGGTAGAGTGCCATGGCATCATGCTCACAGCAACCTCCAACTCCTGGGCTCAAGCGAGTCTCCTGCCTCAGCCTCCCAAGTAGCTGGGACTACAGGCGCCCGCCACAATGCCCGGCCATTTTTTTTTTTTTTTTGGTTGCAGCCATCATTGTTGTTTGGCGGGCCCAGGCTGGGGATTCGAACCCGCCACCTTAGGTGTATGTGGCTGGCGCCTTAGCCACTTGAGCCACAGGCACCGAGCCCTTGGCCCTAATTTCACCTCCCAACCTGTAAGTCTGTCCTCCTGAGCCCAAATTTCACCTCCCCACCTGAGTCTGTCCCCTGCCCAGGGCTCCCAGATAGGAGGTAGATCTTCTGTTTGACCTGGCCGAGGCTGTGGCAGCATCTGGTGGCCCCTCAGGCTAAGTGCCAACCCTGTTCTGCCCATAGGTATGAGCGGCTCAGTGAGGTGGTCGAGCTCCTCTTCCCACCTACTGCCCGTGGCCCCAGCACAGACCTGGCCAACCCTGAATACAGCAACTTCTGCTACTGGCGGGAGCCACTGCCCACTGTGGACCTTGACACCCTGGCTTGAACCTTCCCCGCTACTCACTCCTCCCTGGCCTGGCCCAGGACTGACCAGGTGTCCCAAGGCAGAGCGAGTTGGAAGTGCCAGAGGGACAACCCACTGAAGGAAAAGAAGGGGTGGCAGGTTGATGGGTAGCCACAGACCTTCCCTCCTCATCTCTGCCAGCTAAGCTGCAGCTTCCCCAGGGCCTTACTGTGGCCTCGGCCTGGAGGGATGACATGTTTGTCATCTGGGCCCTTATTGGTTCTCTATGACCTTGATATCTGTCCCTGCCTACATGGGACCTTGCCTCAACTTCTGATAGGACAGAAGGGAGAGGGCAGCTTGACCGAGGTGTGAGGCCTACATGCACAGGGCAGTGTTGGTAGCAGCAGTGAGGGCGCAGCTGAGGAGCATCTAGAAAGGACGTGGGGTTCCCTTGCCCCACTGCCGAGAGCCAAACAGTATTCCCCCCCTTCCTGAAGCCAGACATCTCGGCTGGTGCATCTGCTCACTGGTGCCCTGGCATCTTAGCACATGACACACATTCACACACCTAGACTCCCCCAACCCCTGTCCTTACAGGGGAGCATGGCTCTGGTTGGCTTCGCCCCCAGTGACTGGGCTCCAAACCCAGCCTTCCCCAGCCTCTGCTGGTCCCCTCGGTGCCCACGGCTGCTCCATGAGCTCTTGCCTGAGTGGCTGTGGGGAGCAGGCTGAGGCCCCTGCAGCCTTCCCTCCTCCTGCCTTTGGTGAAGAAAGTTCCTTTAAACTGGCCAAAAGCTTTAATCCAGAGCTGCCTTCCTCCAGCAGCACAAAACGGAGGACAGATGCCCAATGTCCAGAAACTTATGGACCAGCACAGCAGGGCCTGTGCTGCTGGGGGAGAAACTGAGGCTGAGGGCCCCAGCAAAGTCAGGCGTCAGAGTCTCTGGGACTGCACAGGCCTAAGGAACACTTGGCGTTTTCAAGTTTTCCCTTGATTTCATACCTGAATTCTCACCTTTTGTGAATATCCTGCTAGGTGGGGGTTGTGCAAGAGTGTTAAGAGCAAGGTCTGAACCCCTTTCCTTCCAGCTCTGGGCAGCTCCTCAGGGTCAGGCCCTGATGTACACTAAGGGCATTCTCTGGAGAGAGGCCCTGAGTCAGAGGAAAAAGGCTGTGTGGGCACCCGAGGGCCCTGGAAACATCTTGGGGGGAAGGCAAAGGATAAATAGTTATGACCTGGATCCAATTCCTTCCTCTGGGATTCTATAGCTGACTAAGCCCTCACCTTGGGGGAGGATCAAAAGGAATAAAGAGAACTCTTTGAATGAGTCCTTGTGCTTCTGTTCTGTCCTGAAGGATGTGTGGGGGAGCTGGAAACATCTGGCAGCCTCTGGTCCGTAGTTTAGAAATAGTACTGGGAAGCTGCCAGGTATGAGGGCAGATCTCTTGGGCATCACCCTCCCACAGAACCCTAGCCCAGGTGGCTGGGGAGAGAAGCCTTCAAGGGCTGGCGACTGTTGCTTGTGGGCAAAGGGCAGTGTGGCTGGGCTACTGTCTGAGAATGGACCTGGAGGTCTTTGCACAGTTGCGGACTCCAATTTGCAGACAGTGGAATAAGAGGGCACTTAAGTCCATCCCGGCTTTCAGGCATGACATCCCTGCCTTGACCACTATCCTGGACCAGTTTGTGCAGCACTGAGCATGGATTTTGGTGGCTGGGACAGTCATGTGGCAGTGGGCCAAGCCCATTCTTTCAATGGCCTTGGAAGTGGCATCTGGGCTGGCCAGGGGCAGCAAGGAGGCACTACTGGGTAAGACTGTGCTCTGGGGTGATGTTCCCTGGGTTGGTGGGATCTGGGGGTTATATCCCCTCCAGCCTCCCTAGTCGGCTTGTCCTGGCCGTGCTTGCTCAGCCAGCTGGGCCCGGCAGTCTAGCAGGTCATCTCGTAGGCGGGCAATGTCCTGTGTGTGCTGGGCCAGCGTGCGATTCAGCTGGTCCACATGGCCCCACAGGCCCTCCCTGGGCAAGCTGTCCAGGCCTGCAGCCAGCACCCCCAGACCCCTGCAGGTGCCCTCCACTTGTGCCACCCGCTGGTCAAAGTGGCCCACTGCTTGTTGGAGTTCCTGGGCTGTGTCCTGGCAGCGGCTCAGTCCTCCAGCCACCTTGGCCACGCCAGCCTTGAGTTGCTCCAGCTCACCCCTCAGGTTCACGACCTGCCTATGGCCAGCCTGGAGCCTGGAGCCGTGACTGCTGACCTCCTCTTGGATGGCATGAACTTCGGCTTCTACCTTGCGTTCTCTCTCATCTAGGGACGTGTTGGCAGCCGAAAAGGCGTCAGAGTACTGGCTGACAGAGTCACTGAGGCCTGTGAGTGACTTGCTCACAGAGTTCAGGTTGACCTTGAGCAGAGTGATCTCTCCTTGGAGTGAGCTGCCTGTCCCTTCTGCCAGTTGCCCCTGGACCTCGGCCACGGTGCCGTTGAGCTGCCGGAGCAGAGATGCGTGGCGGGCCACCTGGCGTAGAAGGGCCTCACTCCGGCTCCGCCAGGCCTTCACCTCCGCCATTAGGTTGTTCAGGACGGCCGAGGTGGTGCTGGGGATGCATGAGGTCTCCAACGAGACCAGCCGTTGTTCTAGCACAGCCAACTCCGCCGTCTGCACAAGGGGCCGTGCTGATCTGCTTGGTGGAGTGCTGTCATGGCCTAGCTCCCCAGCCATTGTCGCCAGGCGCTCCTCCAGGCTCTGCACGCGCTCCTCCAGCATGGTCCTAAAGCCACCCGTCCCCCAGCCCCCCATCTCCATCCTCAGGCAGCAGCCCCTCACTCCACTCTCTGTCCCATTGAGTGCCTCCAGGCCCTCAAGTAGCCCATCCACTCCTCCTTCCAGCATGGCAGCTGAGAGGTGCGTGAGCTCATCCCCAGCTGGGCCACCAGGGGCCCTTTGGGTCTGGGTGATTGACTGCAAGGTTCTCTCAAGGCTGTCCACACGGGCACTGATCAAGGCCAGCTGGCTGCAGCAGCTACCCCCACCTGCTGTGCTTAGGCCCTGCAGCCGGCTACCCAGCTGGGAGAGCTCTCGGCGCAGGGCCAGCTCCCGGCCATCGAGGCTCTGATGCAGCCTCTGACTGGCTGCCTGGCCCTCCTCACACTGCCGCTGAACCTCCTGCACCCGCAGGTCACATGCGCTCTGGACGCCTTGCAGCTTCTGCTCAAAGCCGTCCAGCAGGCTCCCCCCAAGGCGGTGCAGACGTCGGTCCACATACTCCTCCAGGAGCGCCAGGGAGGTGAGTGGGGACGGCGGGGCCTCCCGCAAGCGCTGCAGGTGGGCCTCATGGCCGAGCGCCAGCCCATGCACCTCATCCAGCAGCTGCACCTTGGTTCGCAGTGTGTTGCTCACCTCAGTCACCTTGCTCAGGATCTCGGCCAGAGGAGGTGTGGGTGGCCCTCTGGCCCTCTCTCCTGGATCCACAAGCCTCTCGGGGATGACCCCGAAGCCCACAGGGGCAGCAGGAGTCCTGGGACCACCAGTCATCCTGTCGTGGTCCTCCTGGCTGGCCACAATGCCGCTGAGGGTACCATATATTTGTGCCAGGCGCTGGACATCACCCTCCAGGCGTTCCAGCCGCTTGCCAAATAGCACTGGGCCTTTCCTTCCTGGGGGAGAGAAGAGAACCCGGGGCATCACTGGCCGGTCCCTCTCAGCTTGTCCTGTTGCCAGGCCACCCAGGAGATTTTCTGTTCTATGGTTACCTTCTTGCTGGGTATAGCTCCCTCAGATTGGTGGTGGGGTGTGTGGGTGGGGGGCTGGGGTCTCTACTACATTGTGTCCAATGTGAGAGGTACCCTCCCTGGCCCTGCCAGAGCTCAACTGGCCTGGGTCAGTCCCCTCCCTGTCCCCACCACTGAGCCCAAGAAATCTGATCACCTTGGAGGGTCTCCATGGGCAGACTCACCGTGAGGGCTGGGGGCCACTCTGCTGTAAGGAGGGGGCCTGGAGCCTGGGCCCAGCTGCCCCGAGGGAATCTGGGGCTCTCGCTCCAGCTGGGGTGGGGCAGCCTCTTGGTCCGTGAGGTGCTCAGGGCACTGTTCCCCAGTGAGGCCGGGGCAGCAACGCCAGGCGAGGTCTGTCACTGTCTTGTATCCGACCTTGTACTTGGGTCTGAGCACCGTGCGGTACCTGGGCCGGGGTTGGGGGCAAGAGTGCTGGGTGCCACACCTGCAGGCTGCAGCTCCTGCCCTGAGCTGGCATTCCGGGCCATCCTCAGACACTTGCATAAGATCTGGCTGTTTCCCCAGCTTCATGCCACCCACAGGGTTTTCCTTTTTCTGTGCTGAAGGTGACAAGGGTAGTGGTGGTGTGGACAGACTTCCTGGGGCTCAGAGCCATGTTAGGGAAGGATGAAGTTTGAAACCTCGCCCCATTCTGTTAGCTTGGAGAGGAGCAAGGATTTTGCCCCAACATTCTCAAGACTACCCTCTCAGCTTGTCCTGTTGCCAGGCCACCCAGGAGATTTTCTGTGCCAGGCGCTGGACATCAGACTAAGCTACCCCTTAGTCATGTTGCCATGAGAAATCCCACTCGGGCTTCTATGGTGCCTCACGATGATGCTGCCCTGGAGCTCGGACCAAGCCCATCTCACTGCCGTACGGCCACGCTCAGCTCCCATCAGCTCCCCTTTAGTCTTTCCACTCCTCTCTCAGGGTCTCACAGAAGCTGGTGGAGGTGCCTCCGATTTAGAGCAGGGAAGGGAAGGCCCAGAGCACAGGCAGGACTCACCTGGGCCACCCCCTCTCCACGGGCCTGTTTCCCACTGACACACTGGACCAGCCAGCCTTGTGTCCAGGCACACATGTGGGAGCTGTTCTGAGCACAGGTGTTCCTGTGCAGCCCTATCTGGCTGGTCTAAGCCCTGGTGCTCTGGCTCCTACCCCCTTTACCTGTGGCCCCCTCCTCACGGCCCTTCTAGGGTCCGTGCCAATCCCCCCTCCGGCATCACCCATTACCTAGGTGATCCTCTCCCCTACCTCTGCCTCGGTCCCTTCCTCCTCACCTGTGTTGTTTCTCCCCTGGGAACCCTCCCCTTGTCCGTCTATGATTCCTGGGCTCCAACCCAAGCCTGCCTCTCATCTCCAGAGATGTTCTGCTGCAAGTTCAAATCCTTGGGGGTCCTACCTGGCCCCCTCTTTTGGGGGCCCTGGTCCACTCTGGCCTATGTGGGGGCTCAGATGAGGATTTGGAGTCCAAGGAGCTACAGCCCCTGTGCTACTCTCTGCTGAAGGCAGGCCTGGGGCTTGTGTCCAGGGAGCCCAAGCGGATGGGAGGAGAGTGCACTCACGTGACTGTCCCGGGGCACTTGGGCCCCCATCCACACTGCCGGTACTCCGCCTTCACATAGCTCTCTGCTCCCTCCTGTAAGACGCAGGTCACATTCCTGTGCACCACGTAGGCACAGAGGGCCCTGTGGAGAAAATGGTGTCGTCCCTGGCATATCTAGCCAGAGCCAGGCCCACTGAGACTATCTTTCCTCTCTCTCCCATCTGTGGGCCTCAGCAGGGAACCAGCCACGTGTCTTCTGTTCTGTTCTCTATGTCCTTGGTTGTCAGGGCCCTTGGTCTGGGGTCCAGCCCCACCACCGGTCTCTCTACTCCCAGTCTCCCTGATGGGTAGCCAGTGGGTCCAGCGCTCTACTTCACCAGCAGACTGCCAAGGCTGCCCTTTATGCCCAGGGAAGAGACTTCCCGGCTTCCTCCCAAGCACCTGGCCACATCTCCCATCCTTCACTGGCTCCAAATGCCTTAAGCGTGGCCCTGGAGGCTTCTGAGATCCCACCTTCTTTGAAAGCATGCTTCTCATCCTTCCTCCTCTGACTCCTGGGGAAATGCACCCCTCCCTGCTGGCTTTCAGCCCCTGCCTTTGCCCCTTTTCTCAGAATGTCAGACCAGTTCTTACACCATCTCCTCCAGGAAGCCTGCTCTGATGTGACCAAGCCTTCTGAGTGTGGGCTATGGGCTGGGCTCTCCTACAGTAACTCTACTCCGATAGAATTCAAACCCAGCTAGCACCTCAGGCACAGCCTCTAACCCACCCGCCAGAGGCCAGTTTGCAACCCCCTGCCTACTAAAGAGCAGAGGCTGCCTGCATCCCCGACAAGCCACAGAGACTGAGATCAAGTGGGTTGCCCGGCAGCTGCCGGCCCCTGTGACAGCGGTTCCACATCACCGGCCCAGGACCCCGGACCCCCCACCAGCTCTGCAGACCAGCCACCTTGGGGGTACCAAGCTCCCGCAGGCAGCTCGGTCCCGCAGGCAGCCCGGTTGCTGGGACCCGGCTGCCTGCGGTAGGAAAAGCGGCCACCGAGGCTCCATCTCCTACCTGGTGGGGCAGGGCAGGGAAGGGATGGGAGGGCGGCGCGGGAAGCCCGCGTGCTCAGCGCCGACCGCCCTATCTCCTCTCCCTCCACCTGGTCCGCTGCGCCCGGAGTTTGCACACAGCGCAGCTGGAAAATGTTACTTTGCTGGAAAGGTTTCCGCGGGCACTGCCAGGACCGCGGCCGCCGCGCCAGGCCCCCTCGGCTTAATTTCCTTCGCCAGCCCCGCAGTCTCCCAGAGCGCGGGGCGCCCTCCCGAACAGGGGCTCGGCCTCGGGCGCTGCCCCCTCCAAGCCACCGCCTCTGGGACCAGGGCCTCGACGCCCCCGCGCGGGTTGGGCAGGTGGGAGCGGCGGCGCGCGGCGCGGCCCCTTCCCTCCCTCTTCCCGCCCGCGCCCGGCCCGCGCTTACTTGTGCGACCCCGGGCGCAGCCGCGGGCGCCATCCCGTCGTGTAGAGACTGTAGCGGGAAGCGCCGGGCGGCGCGGGCCGCGCCAAGAACGGGGTGCCCTTGGCCTCCGTCCCCGAGAGCAGCGCCGCGACGGCGCACAGCCAGACGGGCAGGCGGC